AAGTAACTTAATCCCATACCACAGACTTTTTTGGCACCAAGTCCGCATGTGCTGAATCATCATCCCTGTGTACGCAGAATTCAATCTCCTGTTCTCGCGCTCTGTTTAAGCGCGATGTCTTAAAATTGATATAAATACCATACTGCGGAAAAAATCATGCTGTAAGACGATTTAGAAATCGCTCGTGTCCAAATCGCGATTTTGATACAATTTCAGTTTATCACACAGCCTTTGTACAAGTCAATGAATTTTTGTGCTTTTAGTTTTTAGTTTTTAGATTGTTGGTTGTGGTAATGTAGTTAACAATTCAATGTAGATTCATGTTTGAAATTGATCTCTCTGTTTGTGTTTTTCAGGGATCAGTTAACTCGTGTATTACAGCAAATCAAAAGTGAGCGTGGTACTATGGCTGGCATGTCAATGGATGATGTCACTCAGCAAGTGGCACAGAGACTCGTACAGAACCAAAGACCGGTGTGAACATATGCTCTTCTCTCTCATCCTCGTTGAGTTTTCAATGTTTTTTTTTTCTCTGTTCTGTGCATTGCTTATATGTTTCACTGTTGTTTTAGCCACCAGGCCCTATAGCACCTCCACCTGGAGCCAGAGCTTTTCCTGGTTCTGTTGGTCCAATCCAGCGTCCTGTAGTGCATCCACCACATCCCATGCGGCCTCATTTCCCACCCCAAGTTGCTCAGGTGTTCCACACAAGACCCCCGCAGGTAAAACGCTAATTTAAATAATTTTTGGAACTGGTTTTGGAAATGTTTTTCCGAACATGGTTCTATCTGACATCATGAAGAGTGAACTCCTTATAAGCCCCTTTCTCATGGTAGAGTGTTCACTCAGGATAAGGAAGTTACTGCAATACTGTACAGGACTTGTTCAGTTGTAGTTTATTTAACTCTTCCACACATAAGTTTTAAATACACAAGCTGATCCCCCTGTGTGAGTTTTACCTCAATACCTCAATTCATCAACTTTTCCAAAACTACATGAATGCAAGTTTCTGTTTAACCCTTTAAGCCAGGCCACCAAGCCACGGTCAGAGAACTGGCACAGACTAAAACCAACCATTTTTTACCTGGCGTCAGCTGTGCCAGACTTGACCAAAAAGATGCATGTGAACACACCAAACGGATGACAGCCAACAGAAGTAAGAGTGCGCGTTCTGTATCTTTCCACTCCTGGGGGATCAGTAAACTATTTTCTCGTTCCATCTGAACTTTTGATGTGCAGATACCTGTTTTTTTGCATGTACAATTACTCTGGTGTGATCAGCTGATAAATTCAAATCTGTTTTCCCATGATAGATTGTGCTGAGGAAAACGAGCATGGTGCTTGTCAAATTTCAAAGTTTATCAATGCTCTCATTTAAATAGCTTTTGTTTTGGGTTGCTGACATTTAGATACACAATTATTGTGTATCTAAATGTGAATATTGTGCAAAAGTGGTATTTAAGGTTAAATATTGTGCAAGAGTTAATGTTGAAGCAAGCAGCGCAACATTATTGTAGTTCATTTATAGTAAACATTGTTTTTATTATTGTTCTCGTAAGATGTAGATTAGATAAAGTGTTAGGTGCATGAGAGAGAAGAGTGTATCTACGGGTGGTTTGTCAAGCCCACTCACCTGATTGAAGGACAATTTAAAATGCATAATGTTTCCAAGAGACATGGAATGAATAAGAAAATGTTTATAGTGCAAGTGTGCAATCAAGTGCAAGAGCCAGAGAGATGAGTAGGTGTCTTTTCTACAGCTGGTTTGTTAAGCCCACTCACCTGTATGGGACATACTCAGGAAGACTTTCCAGACCTTTATAAATTTCTTTATTCTGTTGATTGACATCTACTATAGTGGTCAATGGTTACTGGTTTCCAGATTTCTTCAAAATATTATTTTATTATTTATTTATTTTTTTTGAGAAAGAAGAATATCAAACATCTTCGATAAATAAACAATGACAGAATTTTCAGTTGGGGTTAAATATACCTTTTATATTTCAATAGACGAAATGAGGATAATGCCCATTTTTAAATCCAATGGTGGAAAGTAATAAAGTACTTTACTTTGTAATTTTACTTAAGTATGTTTTTTTTAAGTAATCTCCACTTTAGCTGTTGTTTCACTACATTGTAAAGCATACCAAATTTTTGCCTCTACATTTCATAAAAATATATGGTTTGCTATTCAACAGCTGATTCAAATAATCTTGTCAAAGTGAGTAAAAACAGGAGATTTAGTTTTTTGTTTTCTAAGAGATCGTCCTTGAGCCTTGAAGCTGTTCTGATACATGACAATCTGTGGTGAGCATTGTGGGCAGGACACACTGTGTCTGTGAGCAGTTGGTTGTTGTGGCTGTGTGGTTTAATCATTGTCCTTGTGGGATATGTCAGCCACATATTCCACTCAGGTTCAGACATGAAGTCCTGGGGACACTTACCATGCCATTTAAAGTGAGTTTAGACACACCAGATGGTTGATGGAATCAGTGAGGGAAAAGTAAATATTGTAATTTTTAGCGCTTTTACTTTGTTTTTTATGGAATTATATGCCATTTGATGTAAATAGTTGGCCTTGATTCCAGACGAGTTTGAAATTGTCAATAAAATTAAGTCCTCTCATGTTTTTGGAGCCATGTACTTTGACCAGGGGTGGACATTTTAGGTTGACTCATTTGTATTTACTGAATAACGAAACACCACCTAAATGTAATTACTGCCAAGCTGCTCTTATGAAACATATTTTGTTGGAATAAATAAATCAATTTTGACCAGGGGTGGGGAACGTTGATACTGGTGAGCTCTGCAGAGTTTAGTAGTTTCTACCCCAATAAAATAAAGATGAACAACTTAATCAAGGTGTTTAGAATTAGTGTAGGTATTTTTTTTTTTTCAGGTTTGGAGCTAAACAGTGGCCCTCCAAGATCAAGCTATCTCACTCATCATTTAACCCAAGAAAACTTCAGATCGACATTCAGAACCTATAATCGATCACATTTTACCAGGACGATTTTTTCAATTACTTTCCCAAGGTGTCACGTGACCCTGCTCTGTTAAAGTCTATAGCTTTGCAGCCACGTCTGATCCGGACAAGTAGGACGATGGATTCATTCTTGAGCCTTACTTTGCACTACATTGACAATGATTGGAATCTGAGCCAAAGATGCCTTTAGATGGCATATAAAACTGTATCAGTGAACTTTAAGGGGAATTTTTTTTATAAATACAAAAATAATTGTTTATTATTAATCATAATCGACTTAAAATGTTAAATTAATCAAGATTTTGATTTTAGACTAAATCGGCCAGCCCTATCATCTTGTACTGATTCTTCACCTATTTTCATCAGTGGTTCATATCGGTTCTGAAGTAGCCCACAGTTGGTGGAATACCCATATTGGCATTTATTTGCGGTAGTGAATACTAAAGCAGCAGCTTATGATCCACATGATCTGGTCCCACAACTACCCTTTAGTCTCACACCTGGTTTATGCCATCGATTTGCATGCTCATTTTTAATATTCTGCCTGTTTAGTAGCTCTAGATTTACAGGACTCACCTCTATGTTGTATTGGTCCATAATGAAGTTTGCTTTTGAGTTCTGGCAGTTCTGGGCAGATTGAATGTATCTCTGTTTTAAGAAGTACAATCGATTTTAGAAGTCTGTGGGCATTTTTGCAGCAGAGATATTCTGAACCATTTTGAACAAGAAACATTTTCATCTTATGATAGGCGGCTGTTTTTTTTTTGTGGAAGCAGGGGGTTGTTTAGTTAAAGATTTTGCTATTAGTGTTAACATTTTAGTTCAGAATGTTTGTAGATTCAGTGTTGATGTTCAAGCTGTGTGGTTTGAGCTTCGTGCTGATGAGCAGAAATTAAAATTAGGAGACAAAATGCGAAAGTGCAAAGCATGGAGCATTAATCAAAAATGTTCAAGCAGTAGATGAATTTGATAATGTAAATCGCTTTTTAAAGCTACTATATGCTACAGTGCAATTTACTGCATATATTTTTTCTAAAATGTAACCATCAACATGTTTAAAAGGCATTCAGTGTTCAGATTATATATATGTTTTAAAACTATTTTCAATATCATTGTCATTCAATTGTAGATCCTCATTAACATATATACTTTTGTCTGTCCCTATTTCAGTCCGCTCCTCGTAAATTTTGTTTAATGTGTCAAAATCCTGTGGACACTGCAACCCAGTACAACACAAACTGCTCCCATATAATGCACAAAGATGTAAGTGTGGAACTTTTAATAGATACGTTTAAGCTATTGCTTTGTCTATGTGGTGTAATAACCAGTTAAATGTTTCTCCTTTGCTTTAGTGTGTTAGTGTTTGGCTGAAGACGAGTAAAAATAATTCCTGTCCTTTTTGCCCATCCAAATGAGGACCGACTTAAAGAGGAAGAAAAGAAAGTCACTCAGCTGAGCCAATACCTACAAAAAAGGGAAGTGTAATGATCATATTAATAGTTATCAAGGCATTAAGTTTTGGTCATGATAACGATGTAGTTAATTATTTTTTATAAAGAACAGCATGTCGATATACTAATTGATGTTATTTAGCAGATCAGGCGAGATCCTCACAATATGAATTATACTTATTTCAGTATTCAGTGTTATCCAAAGATTTTCAAACATACCCTGAAGTATAATCCTCATTATGTAAGCTTTTCATAAAGGTGTGTAACTTAAACCTCTGAAGAAGACGACGATGTTTCTTTCACAACTTTTCCAAGTGATACAAATCTGTACCTAACTGGAAAATGTTCTCTAATTCTGTATTTTATTAAATTAAGGATCCACCGAGGCCTTTATGTGTAGTTTTTATACATAAAACGTCAAATAAATTGATTAATGACTTTGTTTTGAACTTAATATTTTTATTGAGATTTAATATTAAGGTTTAAAATAAATTATAATATTGTTTAAAGTAATAAACTGTATTGTGATTATATAACATGAGAAAAAAACACTGACTCTATTCTTTTTTTTTTGTAATTTTTATTTTGTGCATTATTTAACTTGAACATAATAAACATTCATCACACAGCCTTTGGATCTTCTCTCCTTCTATTACCAAATGCAAGATTATCTGTTCTTTGATGTTGTTTGAGGATTAGCGTGTGCACTTTTATGCCTGGATGGCCTTGGCGATGGTCTCATACATCTGTGCGAATGTGGTCCTCACGTTCTCCATGTAGGGCTCCATGCGGGTCTGGAGGTCCTGGGTGTGTGGGGCGATCTTCTCCCTGGCCTCCTCGACAGCCTTTACCAGCTGCTCCTTGTACTCCTCGGCATAGGGGGCGGCCATGGTCCTCAGGTCCTCAAGACGCTCGGTCAGCTTAGTGCGAACAGCCTCGACCATTGGCACAACTTTGGACTTGGTTTCCTCAATGTTGGACTCGAAGGCCTTCCTAATGTCGTCCATCAGGGGCTCCAGCTTGGCACGCAGCTGCTCAGCATTTTGGCGGTTCAGAGCGGAGTACTCCTGGAAGACGGGCTCCAGCTTCTCACGGTACTCATCGATGTGCTTCTGCAGCGCGGTGTACAGCTCGGCACGGTGGGGCTCCAGCTTGGATCGGAGATCCTCAACGTCAGTCATGACCCTCTCGCGCAGCTGCTTGGTGTTCTCCATCAACTGGGTGGAGATGGTCTCGGCGTAGGGGGTCAAAGCCTGGGAGGTGGTCTGGGCATATTCCTGGAGCTTGGTCAGGCTCTCAGAAAGCTGGAGTCTGGAGAGAAAGGAACATAAAATTGAGAAACTCCAACTGCTTCAGTTAAAGCTGGAGTTTAGATTCTTAAATGAAATTGTGCTCATTCTAAGACCAGAGGAAAACTGAGTCTGGTTTCTTCAAGATATTTTTTTTCTTAACTATTTTCTACTCCTGGAGTTCAGGTTTTGGCTTTGGCTTGTTCAGTTTCTCATTTAATATTCAGTAATATTCTATTAATTTAAAAAATATAAATATAAAAAAAACTATACTCTTTTGTAGTTAAAAATAGCCAAAATCAATGAAAATCAATAATTTAATTGTATTGTAGAATGTTATTTATATTTCCATGAACAAAACCACCATCTAATGATGTTTCCGTATTGATTGACGTGTGGTTAGTGGATCACTCACCATCAGCATGAAAGCGATTTAGGCCTGCTATAGTTTATGTGGAGATAATACATGAATGAACATCAAAAGGTATGTCAATACATACAGGTCAATGTACTGAAATGTATCACGAATTGCATAATCGGTTTTTAAACCGCGGAAAAGCATGACATGAGCATATTTACCAGCATCAAAAACTCGTTCATAAACAAGATTTTCAAATGAGTAAATAAATGCCATCCGTCCTGTTGTTATTGCACTCTGAGAAATATGCTAACACTAATTTTATGTTGCAAAATGTTTCTGAATGATGTTGATAATGATAATAAAATAGATAGACACGCATATAAAACATTAGGAAAACGTACCATAATCGCTATATACAAATGTGTTATTCTGCTTAGTTTTCTTTTTTAACTATTTCCCAAATGATGTTTAACAGAGCAAGGACATTTTCTCACAGTATGTCTGATAATATTTTATTTTAGCTAAAATGAAAGCAGTTTTTAATTTTTTTAAAAATTATTTTAAGGTCAAAATTATTTACCCCTTCAAGCTATATTTTTTGATAGTCTATAGAACAAACCATCGTTATACAATAACTCCTGGTTAATAATCCTAGTTTCCCCAATAAACTAAGTTAAGCCTTTAATTTCACTTTAAGCTGTTTAGAAGTGTCTTGGACAAAAGAATATCTAGTAACATATCTAGTAAAATATTATATACTGTCATCATGATAAAGTAAATCAGTTATAAAAAATTAAAACTATTGTTTAGAAATGTGTTGAAAAGTCTTTTCGTTAAACAGAAATTGGGGAAAAAATAGACATGGGTGCTAATAATTCAGGGGGTTTAATAATTCTGACTTCAACTATAAGTTGGCCTATAACTTTCAGTACATTACTGGAACAGTATTTCTTAATTGAGAGCTTTGCCAGAACGTTAACCAAAGTTCAAAAAAAGTTTAAAAAAATTTTAAATAAAAAAATAAACTACAAAGAGAGGTAACAAACCACAAACAGAAGATTTAGACAAGTCTCTTACTTGTACTGCTCATAGTCGGTTCCGTCCAGGTTGTCAAGGGCTTTCTCAGCCTGATCCTTGACCTGGTTCAGGTACACCAAGGCTGCTGCCTTGTAGTGCTCCAGCTGGGTCGGGGCATCAGCCTGGAACAAATTGGCCTGGGAACCTGAGGAAAGATACAAGAGAGATTTCAGAAACCAAAGTGATTAATTACCTATATGACCCTTTAAAGTGATAGATCACCCAAAAATGAACATTCTTTTATCATAGATTCACCCTTTACTTGTTCTAAACATATTTGAGTTTCCTTCTTCTGTTGAACACAATAGAGGATATTTTGAAAAAGGCTGCTTGCTCAAACCCATTGGCTTCCATAGTAATTTTTAATTCCTACTATGGAAGTAGTCCCGGCAGGCAGCATTCTTCAAAATATTTGTGTTCAAAAGGAGAACAAAAACTCATGAAGGTTTAAAACCCGATGCAGAATAAACCAAAAGGTAATTTTCATTGAGTAAACTATCCCCTTAAACACATGGTCAAACTATTAACAAAATAATCAGTTTCATTAGTTTTTAAGTAATTTGTAAATTCAAATGACTAAAGACAACACTACGACATTTTGAAGTGAGAGGCGAGACATGTTGCTTACCCAAGGCCAAGAGAAGAGTCAGTGCAAGAGCCACGAATTTCATGATTAAGCCCTGAAAGAAAACCAAACTATTATACCATCATGCCTTTTAACCAAGGTCTACTTTGATCCACTTCTTAAAGTGAAGCATATTGTTCTCAGCTGTGCCTATGCTAAAGTCTGTGTTCTCTTTGTTTGTCCTTTCCTGCTGTTTGAGCTCTTACCTGAGAGGTGCTGCTCTGAATGTTCGAGGACAGACAGCGCAGGCAGGGCTCTTTTATACTGCAGGAACGGTGCCTGTGTGGAGTTGACCCCTGTCCTCTTACACATCAGAGGTCCAAAGGGTGAGTGCAATAAGAGATGCCTTTAAGATATCTGTAGACACGTCGATGCACTGTCAGTCTCACATATCACATGCGTTCAGTGATAGCGTTTCACAGAAAACATGCCACTTAAAAGGTTAAAAGTATTGCTTCTTAATTACATTTGTTAAACAACAGTAGATCAAATAGCAGTGATTTTATGGGATGTTTTGTAGTTCTTGGGACAAATACATTCTGAAATTGAGCAACTTTATATTTTGATGTAGCAACAAGTTTAGTGTACAGTGTAAATTAGTTTATTTTTATCCATTTCTCAGGGAATATGGACAATATATTTTGGTGCATTTGAATAAAGTTTTATTCTTTAACCCTTTAACTGCCAAACCAACAACAAAAAAAAAAGTTGCATCTCTTAACTCCTAAAGTCGCTACATAACACACTCAATGCACAACACATCCCATCATTTCTAAAATATCAACCTCTAGCAAATGGTTGATGTTGGTTTATGGTAAAAGTACCGGAATTAATACATAAACTATGAAAATATGAAGTGTAAGACAAACTTATTTTTTAAAAATCATCAAAATAAAACATTTTGAATACAAAATCATCTTGATTGTTTGCCATTAAATATTTTAGATTCTCATTTAACATTATTTAACCTGTCTTGTTTTTTTTTTTTTACAACTAAACTTAAATCAAGTGTAGCAGTGCAACAGGATTATGTTTGCTTATTTTTTTGTAAACCAACAATGCTGTGTGTGTAAACCATTATTTAAAACAACTTTAACAGTCATTATTTAAAACTGTCAAAATATAAAAAAATAATAAAAACAAAGTTACACAAAAAGCTAAACATATTCAACCAAATTTAACATTTTTATGGTTCTTTTTGCTTTTTTCCCCTTTTTATTAAAGTTTCATTTAATATTTCCTAACATTCATTGGGGTGCTAATTTTTGCACCTTGATCTTAAGATCAAGATTAAGTTTTTATTATGGTACTGACTAATGTAATATGTATATACACTAATATCTTAATGTATAGCATTTTATAGATAGTATCTTTTTTACTAAAATATTATTTGGATTTTGTTTGAACTTCAGAACAAAATATAAAGAAAATAAAACACAAACTTGTTCTGAAACATTGAAACATCAGGAATCCGACAAATGATTAAAAAGGTGAAAATAAGTGACAAATTCAAATAATAACTTGGTAACATACTTGGTTAACATAGAATAATAACTTGGATGCATAGTTAAAAATAGATAAAGGTTAATAATACATATTATTGTACATTTACATTTGACTGCTTTCAAATGTGTATACAAGTTTTTTAATTGTTCTGCATTCTTTAATCCACTGAGCTTTTGAGTCTCCTTCTATTTTATAGTAATAACAGGCTTCGCTTTGAGACAGTTTCATTCTATTAGTTTGTGCTTGCTTGTGTTAATGTCAAATAGGAAGTATTAATTTAAAAGAGAGATCTGTAAGTATGTATTCCTTTACGCTGGCCAGTGCACTGTATATATTAGGTATTGTTGGTTGGGGCAGAACAGTCATACATTTATTGGTTTGTGATTAAGGAGTTTGTTATTGAGCACCGTGTGATTACATCTCACTCATAAACTGGCAATGGTGAAAGCATGACAAGACTGTAAAGTTATCTCAAAACATTTGGCAACGTGTAGCAAACCTTGATCCTATCCTCCTTCAGCTCCAAAACCCATTTTATCAACTGCCAATCAGAGAAAGACTAGTCAGAGCCATTGATCAATTGGTTGTGTTTGTCAGCTGATTCACTCAGCTGCTCATATTCTTCAGGAGAGCTTCTTTATTAAGTGGTTAAATGCTCAGCTCTATTTTGATTGAATATGAAGACTTTTTAGTTAAGTGTAAATTAATTATAATGCTGATTTAATAGTTTTTACGGGTCTTGAAATATTGTGGAATTTTAATAGCTTTAGTCGATAGTTATTGATATTGATATTCTGGAATTTTTTTTGACATTGATAGTCAGGGAATTTTTATTTTGTTTGTCCAAGTCGTGGAATATGAGGGACTTTGTCAGTTTAAATTTTAAATTAATTTCTATTTAGCAGTATGTTTATTTTAGTACATCATTGTTTCATGTCTATAGTTATGGTTAGGCTACTTTTCAGCTCCATTTTGTTCTTTTTTCACGCTGTTCAACTGACAGTCACTTTAGACAAATTACATTAGCCAGAATATACCCGTTAACTTTAAGAGCTTTAACTTTTTAACACCCAGTCTTTGAAGTGGTCCTTTTAAAGCCAAACGACAGAAATGCTAAATCTTTAAAACTCCATTTGAGCTTTCAAACATGGGAGATTAAAGGATTCACATCCATGCAAAGTTTTCTTTCAAAAGCTGAGGTAAATTATTATTATTGTTATTATTATTATTATTATTATTATTATGCCGTTTCAAGGTGTCTACGGGTCATGAAATATCATGGAATTTTAAAAGCTTAATTCCTGATATTGATTGTCAGGGAATTTTTATTTAGTTTGTCCAAGTCATGGTTTAAATTTCAATATCTATTTAGCAGTGTGTTTATTTTGTTACCTGTTTAACTGTTTCAAGTCTATTTTTATTTTTAGGCTTTTCAGCTCCATTTAGTTTTTTCACGCTGTTTAACTGACAGTCACTTAAGTCAAATGCAATAACCAGAATATATCTGATAACTAAAGTCAAACACGTCAGGATAATATACCTTTAAAGAGCTTTATAATGACCACTCAAACACTTTTTGGTTAAAAGTTGATGACAGAAAAGACATGGGAGAGGAGTAGCTTCACATCCACACCAACAGCAAGTACTTCAGGTGTTTTTTTTTTTCATAATCTGAGGATAAATTATCGATTGTTGTTCTCACATAGGCTGTTAAAATCATGCAAAATGATATTCAAGCTAAAACCATTTTAATTTTATGTTTATATTTTAACATTTGCTAATGTTTAACTACAGGGCTGCCGACTCTTACATGGCAGTATCCTCACGCCCTATTCCCCTCTTATCCCCCACCGCCCGGTCTTCCCTTACTCGACCAAACAACCACCCCTCGCCCCCAATCTTCACTTTTTTGGGTGAAAATACCAATACATAGCAATATATTTTGGGGTCGGGGAAAAAAAAAATCTCATTCCTAGGTAAAACCAAAAGTTAGCAGCCCTGTAATATATAAACACAATGTCAGCCTGTATTTACATTCCATAGATATCATGGAAACTGCACTTTTTAGTCTGTGAAAGTTAGGGAATTTTATATTTGGCTAAGAAACCTGTGATTTATTGTTACAGAAATGAAAAAAGGATGTGGAAACCTTTAAAATAACGCACACGCACGCACATACGTATGTACGTTCTATATCCCACTGGGGACTTTTATAGACTCTCATAACTATGTTTCTACAACAAACCACATATTATATCCCTCAACCCAAACCCTGCTCCTAAACCCAACCCTCACAGAAAACAAATCGCATTCTTACATCTTAAATGTTTTATTTTGTGTTATTTATAACAGTTTACTTCAGTTTTGGTCCCCACAGTGTCCTGGTTGCATTTTTATATCCCCAATAAGGTATAGAGCTATCTAAAGGAAGTGATCAATCTTTTTAGTTTATTTAAAAATTATTTTGAAAATAGAGATATTTAGTGCAAATATCTGCCCAGTTATTTTACTAAATTGTAACATATTTGGGACTTTAAACGACGCTGCAAAGTCCTCATCTGTAATAGGCAGAAACAAAAATGGTCTGTACTACAGTATGAACTGGTCTTTATCAGCAGTATCTTATCACTGTCTTGAGGTTTACGCAACATGTAATGGTAAGTACCCATAAATAGACTAATTTGCATGTCATTGAGTACTATGCAAGTTATTTCATGTCATTTTTCTTTTTTTATTTTGGAGAGAGATTAATATTTTAATAGCATAAATTCTTCTGATGATACTAAAGTGTGAGATATGTTGTTTCTTCCTCTTTAACAATAAAAATAATACTTGAATACAATCTAGTAAGTATAATGATTATAAATAATAATGCAAAAGAGATGCTTGAAATTTATATAAACTTCAATGTAAAAAAAAGTTAATTAAAACAAAAAACATACAAGTGATAATAAAAATTAAATAATAAGATTATGAATAAGATTAAAAGTAGTTAAAAAACAACCTAAAAATATTTATAGTTTTTTACATAAATGCATTAATATAAATAGAAACAAATAAATAACAGTTTCATCTAAAAATTACACAATTTATTAAAATTATATAATATAAATATGTAATATCAACTGAAAAATGCATTAAAACTAAATAAAAAATGCATAATAATAATTTAATTAAATAAAATATTTCAATAAATATAGAACTACAATAAATACAAAAGATTCAACTAATTGCACACATTGTTAGGTGCTAAAAAATGAATAAGTTATAAATATAGGTGTTTTGTTGTTGGGTGATGACCAGCTAAAACTAGCTTGACTAGCATAGCCAGGCTGAGAGCCCAGCTAAAACCAGCTTATGTCCAACTTAAACCAAGCTGGTCTTAGCTGTTCATTTCCCAGCCTGGCCAGCTGAAGACCAGGCCGAAAATGGCTGGAAACCAAAACTCCTCTAAAACCAAGCTGGTGGACCAACTAAATCCAGCCAACCAGACGTGGCTGATTTTAGCTGTTTTTTTTTTCATCTGGGAAAGAGCAGCAAAAGTATTTTTCTTTCAGTGTGGTGATTGAGTATGGGATGCATGTTACCTGGATCCATTAGAAAGCATTATATGTATATGCTGTGAGAAGAAACTAATAAAAACATCGTGAATTGACAGCTTGTAAAAGACGGCTGCGTACACGCTTGAGGTTTGATCCCTGCTGTTTTATTGGAATGCTTGGATCTAAAGCATGTGGCAGTTGTGCCGCAGTAATAGTGCACGCTTTGCAGACCATACAAATAGTTACAGATGGGTGATCTCTTACACTCCAACACAAAAAACAAACATTCACATACAACAGCACCAGCTACATAAGCACTTTGCACAGAGCACATTAATACTAACAGATTTTATATATATATATATATTCATTTATGTATATACACACACTCGCACACATACACGCATACAATTTTATACATCACTTCTTGTCCATTGGCTCATCCACACACACACCAACTCTTCACATAATACTTTACAAAGCGCCAGGACACACACAAAAAACATGGATACAGGTGAGGTAAATATTTACACTGAAAACCTCATGGTTGTGCATTAGATTTCACCCAAAAATACTTATACTTAACTCTGTTATCATTTACTCATACTCCAGTTGCTCCAAAACTATTTATTTCTTCTGCTGAACATTAAAGATGTTTTAATGAATTTCAAATGTGTTTTAATGACACATTTGGAACGTTTTTCCACTCTATGAAGTCAAAAGAGACTTTTTGGTTACTTGAAGATGCTTTTTAAGTCTACTGTTCTTTTAAAGTGATGGTCCAAACCAGTTTTACTTTCTTCTGTTGAGCAGAAAAAGAAGATATTTTGAAAAAAGCTGGAAACCTGTAACCATTGACAACATGCATAGTGTGTTTCTTTCTCTGGTAGAGTCAATGGGTTTCAGTCATAACAACACACGAAAAAGAGCGAATGACTCAGTTTTCATGCACATTATGAACATTTGTAATTCTTTTTCCACTCTGATCACCTTTAAAGTGTGATTTCATCTTATTTTATTTAATTTTATAAAGATTTTTACCTTTATTTTTGGTTAGGAAAGTAGTGAGAATTGAAAGCATTGGGAGCAGAGAGAGGGGAAGGATCGACAAAGGACCGCAGGGCGGAATCAAACTTGGGTCGCCATGAGCACCCATGTGCATGTGTCGACACACTAACCACTAGCGCCAACATTTACTTATTAATAGCGTGAAATTAATGGTGGCTATTTCTCAAATGGGTTTCAGTCTTCTTTTGCATTCAACAGAAGAAAGAAACTCAATGGTTTGTAATCACTTGAGGATCTTGTAAGGAGCTAATAATATGCTAAAACAATATGAATTTGAATTGTGTTCATTTGAATTATTGACAATTGTAATTTAATAAATCTGAATTTTTATATGCCATTAAAATAGTTTTGAATTTGAATTTTTTTTAATCTGAATTCCTATATTGAATTAAAATGTCATAACTTGATTTTTGAACATCTGAAATTTAAGACGACTGAATATTTTTATAGATGCATTTTCAAACTTTCAAACTTTTCTGATTTCCTAGACTGCAGATATTGGGTTTGTAAAAATACAGTTTCAGGTTTTAAAGATAAAGAAATTTAGAACATCAATATCCTAAAATTCAAAACCAGCAATTCAGATTAAGCAGAAAGTTAGTCAGGGGTGACCAACAGGGAAGAGTAGATGATCACCGAAAAGTCAAACTAAGCTTCACTCACCTCTGCTTGATTCATGGTTATGGACGAATTACAGGGTGTGAATTATGAGAATGGGGGGTTTGGGAGGGTCTGGAAATAGGTTAAAAAAATATTTTATCTACCGTACATATAGCCTTGTGTAAAATTAAACTCATATTTTTTAGCTTTAAGTATAGGGAAGGCTGCTTTTGGTTTTATTATTAAGAATTATAAAATTCAAATTAAGAAAATCAAATTTAAAACACCATTTTTAACAGCATTTAAAAATTCAGATTTATTTAGTCAATGATTCAAATGAACACAATTCAATTTCAGATTGTTTTGGCATATTATTACCTCCATAATCTTGAGGATGAGTAAATGAGTAGATTTTCAGTTTTGGGTGAACTATCCCTTAGGATGGGCTTTCTCACTTCAAACTCGCAAACACACAAGGAATGACATGGTTTGATCACTCCAGTCTCTAATATATCATATTTGTGTTACTGGGAATATGAAAGGGCAAAAGGAAAAGAGGAGGTTTGAGATGCATCTGTGAACTGAAAAATAGAAGCAAGACAGATATTTCAAAGGCATGATCTCTCTGTTGTGAACTATCATCATAACACCGCTGTGAGTGTGACCGAGTGCATGTATGAAGGCACGGAGAAGCTGGCAGAGTAAGTGCTACTATTAAAGGAGTTTTAGACCGTGACGATGGGATTTTGATGAGATTCAGGTCCCACTGCTGTCCTAAGAAAAATCTAGTCTTGTCACAAACATCTACTCTTCATTCTCCTAGTGTCTAGCATCTTGGACAACATATACACATTTTATACTGATCATATAAAATCAGCCACTGTCCTACGTTGCCTTTTTGTTTCGCATGTTGCCCAATCTTTTAGTAAGTACATCCTTAATATGCAACTTTTCTAAAACGCTGCCTCTCCAGTGATGAATCAAAGTGGGCTTTTTAAACCAGTGAAGCCCTCCTCTCCTGAGGCGTTTCCTCCAGAAGTTGAAGCAGCAGCTCGTGGAGAGTTGTTGAAATGGTCCTGTAAGCACTAGCGGTGAGATGCAGGTAGTCGAACATGTCTCGAGAGGAAATCGTCCCATCCGAGTGAACAAAACTACTCCCCATGTCGAGAAACTGAATGGGGCCAAGTCGAGGGAGCGATGCTCGAAGTAAATTGTTCACGGATGCATTTTTCTCTCTCAGGGGGTTTGGAAACTCTCCTCTCGGCAATAGGCCCTGAATGACAGGAATGATACGACTAATCAGTTTTGAATGAATCAATGAACTGAAGTTAAACTGCAGGAGTGGTAGAGCCCTATGAAATCTTTTATTATTGTTTCTAAAGATTTTCTTTGCTCCATTTTAATAGTTGATACATTTTTGGATAAAAAAAAATTTATGGTTAACATACATTTTAGTAACCTACAGTGTAAAAATGCTGGGTTCTACACATTTCCTACATGTTGTCTTAACACAAATCAAGTACATTAAAGAGCACCTATTTTACAATTTAAGATAAATCTTTTCTGTATCCAGAATGTGTCTAAAGTTTCAGCTGTGCCTGTGTCCGATAAACAGCACAGTGACAGACATGAAGGAAGCATATCACACATAATGTTTGTGAGAAATACTACAGTAAGAACTTTATCAATGATAATTTCATGTATTTGTTGTGGTTAACTCAAGATTTTCGATGTGTCACACACAATGTCATTACACAGTTCACGCACACAGACACACACTTTGCAGTGTTTTTGCATGGCAGATGTGACAGGATACACGTTAATATCCACTGCTGTATGGATATCTGTTATGTTAATGTACAAATAAACCCGGCTTAACATCCGCAAACTGGGATTGAAGCATCTTTTATAATTGTACTGACACGCGGCTGTGCTGGTAAAGACAGTAAAATCACTGTAATTCATTACAACTGCACGATTTTCAAAATGTTTTAAACTTGTAAAACTTATTCTTGATAACATTTGATGATGATTGATGATCACATATTGTTCATTCACATATTTATCACTCATATTAATCATTAGTGGTTAATTATTAACACTCATCATGAGTCATTTCAAAATGATTCTGTACAGCGCCACTTATTCAAACTCCACATTTCCTGAATTCTGCAATTCAGTCTGAATTTGTTCTGCATTATGAAAATCATAGGGCCCTAGAGCTGATACACATTAGTAACAACAACACATCTCATATCATAATTTTTGTAACTCACCAAAACAATCATTTTGGACTTGGGGAGGCGAGACAGAAGTAACTGTGCAATAGCGAGTATTCCTCCTGCAACCTGATCTGCAGTGTGCTCATGGTTATTAGTTCCTACCCATACAACCACAACCTGTGGAAAAACCAACAAAGACATAATTACAGCTGGTGGACACACAATAGGGCTATATGCACACAGCCTTTTAATTTCAGCCAGCCAGCCTCAGCGCTTCCGGTGAGCTGTCTTTCGACATTGTGTCTTTTCACTTGTCTTTCACAAAAAAAAAAAAAAGTGATCTTCACTGCCTGATAGATATACAATATGAAGTATGATCTCAGACCGGACAAGAAGCACTGCATTAAATCTTTTTCCCCCCACCATGTCTTTAAAATTGACAGTTTATTTTACCCCAGTATTTTCAATGGAGTTTCTGTGCTCGCCTGCTGATCTGACGGGACTAGCGATTACATGGTCTTTCATCCCGTTTTATGCTTGAACAACTAAATGAACGCTTAAGTCTATTAAACTGAATGTATTTTAATTACATTACAACATTGATGCTGGAAAAGGAACCTTTTGAAATTCAAAATTATCACATTAAGCTTTCACCGAAAGTTTATCATTGGCTGAAAAACACTAGCTGTGCATATAGACCACTGGCTTTATAGTAAGCATCACTGTAACAAACCCAAACTCCTCCTTACTCGGGGTCTGATGTTCTCCAGTTCTCCATTCTGTAGTCTCCACATCACATTACTGGTTGTGTCTCCACCAATCCCAAAATTCAGAGCATGGAGAGGGGAAAACAATTCCCTCCAAACCTGAAAACAGCACAGATTGTAAATCAAACATGTACATTTACTTGGACACATATTTAGTGCTGATAAATATTAATAATACGAAATAATGTGTGAAAACTAACAAAATCTATTAAATGTACTGTTAAATTAATAATAAAAAGTAATGTCTTCATTTTTTTTTTCTTATTGCAACACTATAATTTCGCACTAATTGGATATTATATATTTATTATTAAACAACTGAAAATTATGTTTCATGTAAGGTTCATTTAATTGCAGCTGAGGAAATGTTATTACAACAACAAAGGAAAGGTTTCGCGAATAGTCGACAACATTGTCAAAACAATCCTCATTCACACCTACAGTGTCTGCGAAAACGACTAAAAACATATCTTTGTTGTTGATGCCATTTTGTGTAAAAATGTGGTTGCACACACAAGCCACTTTTCTACGCTTTTGTCGAACTGTACAGTCAGGTATGGTGCTAGTTGTGTTTCTACTTTGGCAATGACTGACGCTTTTGTACACATTCCACAGAGTTAGGGATGGCTGATGTGAAACTGACGTTTCAACACCTGAAGCGTGTCGAAAATCCCGAAGTGCAAGTCTTTTGAAACACTGCACCGAAGCATGATTCGAAACACCAGGGCACGTGACTAAAGCAATCCAAAGCATCTGTCGTTTCAGAAGCATTTCAAGACCTGGCGAATCTGCGTTTGACTGACAGGGTCAGAAAAAAATCAATCTCATGTAGTCTAGTGGACCATGCGTGTGCACAGAGTAACTGTGCTGCAAATGGCCCGAGTTCAAATCCTGACTTATAAATACTCAGAAATTATGACTAGATGTATTTAAATAAAGTTACTTTTTATGACCAAACCAACACCTATTTATTCACAAAGTGTTGAATCGGATGTCAAACCATTGTTAAAACAAAACACGTTATAAGAACGGTATATAAAGAGTAATACATAGAGCTGCATCACCCTGCATTCGAACATATTATCTCTGCATGATAGTGTGAAACTCTTACCGCTTCACTAAATCGCTTGAAGCCTCAATTCAACAACGTGGAGTTTAATACCTTAATTTGCTTAACTGTTTGTTTGCTGTAGCTGCGCCTTAACAATACATACACTGACCACTAGGTGTCACTGAAGAGACTTTTTTCGAAACGTTTCAAAGCTTCGCGTATTTGTTTTGACTGTTTCAGTGTTTCATGAAGCCTCATTTTGCCCACCACTACACAGAGTTCCGTTATCAGCACCACAGTTGACAATGAAACGGATCGGCAATGGACTGGTTAAAGGTCCAGTGAAGTGATTTGAAATGTGAATTTTTTTCTAATTTGATGTAATATTAACTGAAAAATGAACAGAGGGTGAGACAGAGTTTATTAAACTCCCCTTTAATAAACAGCCAATAGTGTTTTGTTTTAATCACAACTCTGCCAATGAGAGTGATTAAGCTCAAGTGCTCAAAGGGCGGGACATGTCAGACACTAGAGAGCATTTGATTGAGAAATTGAAGTATGAAAAATGAAAAAATGCCTAAAATCTAATTTAGGCAGACATTTTGTCACTGTTTTGGAGCACACCAACTTAAATATTTATATACTTAAATACAAAAACTTGATCTCCTTAAAACTAGTAGACTGAAACTAACATTTACATTTTTTTGCAATCTTACATGACCTTTAAGCAAACTGGACTGATAGTGTTAAAAACACATTTTCTTTATCTATCGTTTTTAAATGTTGGCATTAACGTTTAAATTAACAGCCAAACTACATAATACATTTTATATTTGTAGTTGAAAATGGCATAGCATCATTGGCTCCCTTGAAACCACAGACTAATAGTTACTGTATGAAGGAAGAATAGGTGAACAGGCTTTTCCATGAAATAAAAGACTTCAAAGAACCGCCCTGTACTCCATTAAAAATATTTAAACTTCAAATGAAGTTATAAAATATAACTATAAATTGCATAAAAATGTGATACTATGCTAATAAGGATTCTTTTGAAATGCTTAATTAAGTTTATTTTCTTTCAGAACAAATGGAACTGTAATAGAATGTTTAGAACGCATGATTCTCCTCTCATGGACCGACTCATTAACAGCATAGCAATTACCTCGTACTGCTGCATAAGCTGCACCATTGAGTCCCCCACAAACAGAACATCAGGCTCTGCATCCTTACACTCCTGCACAAACCGGTTATGCTGCAACAACAACAGGACAAATGCAAGCATGATACACTAATCCTAACTGGGGTGTTGCAAACAAAGAGAAGATTTGCATGCCTTTCAGATTTTATTGCACACCTGTGACATCCAGCGTCCATCACCCTGCACGTCGGTCACAGGTGCAGGTTCAGCAGCGGGATTCTCCTCCGCACTCATTCTCTACAACACAAACACAGGTGGCACAACAACACTAATGAGGAGATGTGTTGACGTAATGCAAATGAACTAGTTTGAGCCAGTCAAAATGTCATATTTGCAAATACAATTCAACACTTCAGTGATTGAAAGAGCAGTTCTGAGAGTAAAATGAAGACCAAGTAAAGATAAGAATAATTAAATTAAGCCACAGTAAATGCATTGTGCTACATGTCAAAGTTTCAATTTATACTTATACTTTAATTTTATACTTTCAACTGATCTCCAATACATTTTAATCAGTTTTTTTTATCTGATTGTTTTCCATTCACTAAAATATCTATCAGATAAATTATCAGATGACACTGCAAAAAAAGTGATGGTTTTCCAGTGCAAACATCTAAAAATTGCGATACAGTGCATCCGGAAAGTATTCATAGTGTTTCACCTTTTCCACATGTTTTATGTTACAGCCTTATTCCGAAATGGATTAAATGAATCTACACACAATACCCCACTATGACAACATGAAAAAAAAATATATATATATATATATTAAATTGTTGCAAATTTATAAAAATAAAAAAAAAATCACATGTACAGAAGTATTCACAGCCTTTGCCGTGAAGCTCTAAATTGAGCTTGGGTACATTCTGTTTCCACTGATCATTCTTGAGATGTTTCAGCAGCATAATTGGAGTTCACCTGTGGTAAATTCAGTTGATTGGACATAATTTGAAAAGGCATACACCTGTCTATATAAGGTCCCAGGGTTGACAGTGCATGTCAAAGCAAAGCACAAACCAAGTATGAAGACAAAGGAATTGTCTGTAGACCTCAGAGACAGTATTGCCTCGAAGCACAAGGCTGGGGAAGGTTACAGAAAAAATTTTGCTGCTCTAAAAGTTCCAATGAGCAGAGTGGCCTCCATCATCCTTAAGTGGAAGATGTTTGGAACCACCAAGACTCTTCCTTGAGCTGGCAGGCCATTCAAGCTGAGTTACCGGGGGAGAAGGCCTTAGTCAGGGAGGTGATCAATAACCCGATGGTCACCCTGTCTGAGCTCCAGCATTCTTCTGTTGAGAGAGAAGAACCTTACAGAAGGACAACCATCTGGAGACGGAGGTCACTCCCCACCTGGAATTTGCCAAAAGACATCTGAAGGACTCTCAGGCCATAAGAAACAAAATTCTCTGGTCTCATGAGACTAAAATTGAACTCTTTGGAGTGAATGCCAGGCGTTATGTTTGGAGAAAATCAGGCATTGATCATCACCAGGCTAATACCCAGTGAAGCATGGTGGTGGCAGCATCATGCAGTGGGAATGTTTTTCAGCAGCAGAAAATGGAAGAGGGAAGATGAATGCAGCAATGTACAGAGACATCCTGAATGAAAACCTGCTTCAATATGCTCTTGACCTCAGACTGGGGTGACGGTTCATCTTCCAGCAGGACAATGACCCAAAGCACACTGCCAAAATATTAAGGGAGTGGCTTCACAACAAATCTGTGAATGTCCTTGAGTGGCCCAGCCAGAACCCAGACCTAAATCATATTGAACATCTTTGGAGAGTTCTGAAAATGGCTGTACACCGTTGCTTCCCATCCAACCTGATAGAGCTTTAGAAGTACTGCAAAGAGGAATGGGCAAAAATTCCCAAAAACAGGTGTGCCAAGCTTGTGGCATCATATTCAAAAAGACTTGAGACTGTAATTGCTGCCAACAGTGCATCAACAAATTGTTGAGCAAAGGCTGTGAATAGCTATGTATAATTTTTTTTTTTTTTTAGGTTTTATTTTTAATAAATTTGCAACCATTTCAAAAATCTTTCTTCATATTGTCATTATGGGGAATTGTGTGTAGAATGTTGAGGAAATAAATGAATTTAATCCATTTTGGAATAAGGCTGTAACAAAAAATATGAATACTTTCTGGATGCACTGCAAGTCTAGTTGAGAGAGAAATTAATCAATGTAATGATAACTACAATGACAAAATATGTCAAAGGATCCAAAATTAACTTTCATTCATTCTCACCTAATGTTTCCAAAAAAAAACCAAGACTACATATGAATTTTGCATCTTGTGAACTGTTATTTAAGAATATTAATAGCTAACCAAAAAATAAAAATTTTCTCACTCAAATGATTCTTATAGTGATCGAGAGAGCTTAACACGCAGCAGTTTAAGAAAACACATGCAATTACAAAAAACATCAGTAAACAAATATACAATCTTCAGTTTGACAGCACGTGTTGCAAATTCTCATAACACAATCAACTAAAAAAAAAACACGTGGCATTTTCCCACAACACAAACAACTGAAGAAACGTGCTGCATTTTGTCACAACACTTGCAAATATCCACGTAACACAACAGAAATGTTCCAAGGGGACCCAAAAACATGACGGACCCTGCAGGGATATAGATGTGTTATTATGTCGTGACTGTTGTTCAGGGAAGTTGTTGGTGGTCTTCAAAAAAGTGAGGTTTTTTTTATGACACTATTCCATTGTCTTTTGTAAATTATTAAACAAAATAAACTGATGATTAAATGGTACAAGTTGTTTCAATAGTATAGCGCGTTAAATAAATGCAGCACATTTTTTCAGTTGTTTGCGTTGTGTCAAAATACAGCCTGTTTCTTAAGTTGTTTGTATTGTGAGAATTTGCAACCCATGTGGTGTCAAACTGATAAGGGTAGTTTCTTAATTTGCTGGTGTTTATTGAATTGCATGACATTTATGCTTGCATGTGTTTTCTTAAATTGCAGTGCGTTAAGCACTTTTATACATGTCTATTTTCCTGTTGAACACTTTAGATATTCTGAAGAATGTTGGAAAAAGCAGCCAATGATATTCATAGTACCATACACAAAAATACTATGCAAGTCAATGCCTGTTTTCCCCAACATTCTTAACTATAAGTTAGTTTTAGTCGAACAGAACTGAAAGAGGCGGAGGACCAAATTCTGACATGAATTTCATTTTTGGGTGAACTATCCCTAATTGTATTAGAAAATAACACAAAAATACTGATGGGGTTTATTTAGTACAGCAATGCATGCTAGCAAGCAAAACATAAAAGGATGCCTTTATACATTTGAGACTATATGCTCAGATTTTCATCCCTTTAAGCAAATGTGTTTTCAAGACATGCAGAAACCACCGTTAAACGCTGCACAAAGAGCGCTAATGTTTTGCTTTCAGTCCTGAGGATGATGATGATGATGATGATGATAATGGACCCCGGATGAAGCAAGCACACAGATGAAGCAGCAGATGTTGTGCATTGAAGATTATACAATTCATGAATGTCTGCAGTGACTGGTACAGACAGGGATGATCCCGATAATGTTAATCTAATGATCTAACGGAGAAGAATGAATCAAATAGCGGGACAAAAGAAAAGGCAGCACATTGCCGGGCGCTCGACAAACGGGTCTCTATGCGCGCCTCCTCCTCTCGACTGACCTGGCGACAGTGTTTACAGATCCCGAACGAGCTGCGGGTGTGCAGCAGGGCAGGGCTCCCTCAATCACGCACAGCAGCACCGCAGTCCAGTCCACTGAACGACTGTCCGGGGAAGAAGATGCGGACGATTGTTTCTGCTGCCGCCGCGCACCCCGACTTTGCTGTTCCAGCCCTGCCTTAAAGAAATGCAAGCTCACGTGACAGTGTTGGCTGTTTAATAATGGTGTTGGGTGGTTTAATTAAGCGGTGATGAAGCGCGACGTCTTTTCAAGAAATCACAGTAAATGTTTGATTATGTAAAGCGAATAGCATCCAACCAACCACCTCCCGCTTCCCTGCGCAACCGCCCTCGCACTTTCTGGAAGCCTCACTTCCGCCTACAGCCTTCGTCACGCACTTCCCATTCAGACCACCCGTCCTCATGAAGGCAAAATACAGGCGAGAACTGTGACTGGAACACACACAGGCAAGTGTGTCCAGCTTATATTCAGTACAGTTAGTTTAAAACTGATCAAAATAATATTTCTAAACTTGTAAAAACTTCCAGCTGCATTACATTTGACATTTAAGGTCTCTGAATTCAAAACTGTTGAGTGCTGCTGCGGTTTGGCTGTCAAATCTATTTTTTAAAGCAGGAATTTTGATACAAAAGATGAAGAAATGCACTATTTTATTGTTTTAATCATGTAAATAATGCTAAAATGTAATCCACTATAATGCAATGGTATGTCCCCCACCACAACAAACTAACTTAACTTTGATAAAACTAACAATTTAAGGGGTGGTCCACTATGATATCATATTTTAAACTTTAGCTGAAGGGTAATGTAGCTGTGTGAACATAAACAACATCTCTGAATGTAAGACGCTCAAAGTTCAATGAAAAGGGACACATTGGCTTTTACTGAATTAACTTAGCAAAGCTACAAGGAAGCAGAACTTTGTGGACTACAAAAAATAAAAAATAAAATACATCCGTGTTAATGATGTCATAAACCCTTCAGGTTTCAAGCATACACCCCCGCACAGAAGAGGCAAGGTCAGATGTGCTCTAATGTTATAGCAGGATGTTTCCTGGTGACATAGAGCCGACCCGTGAATCTCAACATTATGTTAGCTGACCAATCAGAGACTCTTGAGGGCGGGCTTTTGGAGGAACTAGGAAATATGACAGTCATTGTCATGTTAGCTGAGTAGCTGTGTATAATAAAAGACATATGAAAAAATAACATGATTTTTCACAAATTAAGCATGAGCTCACATTGCCTTGCACCCCATCAACACAACTAAGCTTTAAAAATACACTCTGGATCACCCCTTTAAGCTAAATAAATAACCTGTAAACATTCATTGGAGACATAGACGTAACATTTAGCCTAGATTCATATTTTAAGTAGACCTAGGCTGATACTATTAGCCTACAAAAACCTCACTTTTGATTCATCTAACAACACTTATGTATATATACAGGCCATATCCTGAATTTAGCCTGAAATCAAATCAGATGTGACCCAAAAAAAACAAACTACAGAATGTATTGTACAATCTTGTGAAAGTTTTATGCAAGATATTTTGTCATGCAGAATCAGAGTCTGAAAGAGGTCTGGGGGTCTAATTTTACACATTTCATATTTCCAGTTAATTAAGTACAGGTACAGAGGTGCACATTTTAACTTCACATTTCAAAAAAGACTTCACTTTTTGTTTGCCAACCCCCTGAAAATGTTCAGTTGAATTCAGATAATATTGAACAAAACAAAAAGTGATTGGTTGTTTTGCATATATCATCTCGTGCTCTTTTGGGTGTCCTTGACCAGTAAAAGTTGCAGTGGAGTTGCACAGTCATTCTAAATCAGGGGTGCCCAAACTTTTTCCTATGAAGGGTCAAAAACCAAACTTGATAGAGGCTAGCGGGCTGAAGGTAAATATATTTGCTATGGGTAATTTCTAATTTATTTAATAAGGTTTAAAAATGACTAGAAAACATTGCTTATATTAACAAATACAGTATTTTTAAAAACATTTTATAATTAACTTATTACAGTAAAAAAATATTACAGAATTATACTAGTTTTTGTCTGATTTGCACACAGAAGTCTTCTGCATCCATCAGCTGACAGTATTTACATTTTTAAAAATCAGATTCATTTAAAACATTTCATTGAAACGTTTAATTTCAGTTTGTTTTTTTTAGCTTATGAATAAAACAGACAAAATCAAATTATAAATGATGATCACTGTGTTAAAGGCATTCGCCGCAACCATCTCCATCATTATCTTATGATATCTCCTCTCATATGGTGGTCCAAATCAAAGGTTACAAAGAGCCAACTTTGGGCCGCGAGCCCTACTTTGGGCATCTCTGGTATAAATCAGTGACTATGGTTCTATATCACTCCAGCTTTGTAGTTCCACTCCACTTTTTCCATTTGCCCCAAAAAAGGCTTGTCATGAAATCACACAACTCCTCCACACACATTGCTTTGAAACACTGTGGACACAAACAACTGGGGTATTATGCATTCCCAGTACTGTTGGCTCAAAACATTTGATTACCAACTGACCTCTTGGTTTAATTTAACACACTTTTGTGCTGTATATTCGCATGCAGCTGTGCAATATGACTGAGTAGTTTATTTCTGTTTTATTCATTTAATACATTTATATGGTAATAACCACATTTTTTTAAAACTAAACTTTTATTTAGAAAAGAAGAAATGTACAATATACATCAGGAAGTAATCTACAAGAGACTTGAATACAGTTACACAGTGAAAAGAACAATAAGTAACGAAATAGAAAAGGAAAAAAAGTACAAAATATAGACAGGGGAAAGACAAAATTAAATAAAAAAAACACAGAAAGCAACAGACTAACTTATTGGAAGCATGATATTTTGACTTGAAGTTTCTATTAACTTGCAGAATTTTTTGTTGTTAGATAAACGTATAGCTTTAAGCAAGGAATCAATTCCAATTAAAAAATACGAACAATCACATCATTTTTCATTTATTTTTATTGCATAACAATAACAATAACATAAAAAAAATAATACAATGCTTGCATATTTTCTACATCAGAAGAAAAAACCAGTAGAGAATTAAAATAAATAAAAAAAGATTCAAGCATTTATATAAATTACAAAAAACTATTTGCATAAGAAAAGGATTCCAAATTTGCATACATCCTCATAGCTTTTTTTTGTGTGTGTCTTTTAGGGTTTCGATTTAATGCTTAAGATTTTAAACAAATAAATATTAGGCTTATTATTTGACCATTTTTGTTTGTGTACATGCTACTTCCCATATATTATCATTAAATTAATAAACAAATTTTGCTCAAAAGTTTTGTTATTACTATTGTATATCAAAAATGATATATTTACAAGAAAACTGAATTTTTAATTTTGTAAGTTTAAATATAAGATATTTAACATCAAATCAAAACATTTGGGGGGAAAACCACATCATAAAAAGGCTTGTGTGCATAATAATGACGTCACGTGAACCCTAGTCTGCGCTTTTTTAATATTCCACAAGATGGCAACAGAGTCAATACACTAAATGTCACACCTGACCTGATTATTGGTATGCTTTTTGATTTCAATTCCAGAGACACGTGTTTAGTAAATTACGGCTTATAAAACTATTTTCAATTTCCCAAGAAAAGACACTGCGTTAATTGTCATTTCGATTAGATGTTGTTGCCAATGCCACACATAAGAAACATGTTGTAACATGAACTGGAGAAACAGAATGGGGCAGGTTATTTTTCTGTTCTTGGGAATTGCCGTGTAGCTAGTCTGCCTTGCAGGTTTGTTGACGCCCTTTTAACTCCTCCTCTTTTCACCCACGGAGAAAAAGTAATTTAGCATGGCCGCTGTGCTCAGGAGTGCCGAAGTTTAACCAATACTTATATACTGGGTTTAAATACTGTACGAGGCTTGATATTTAGTAAACAGGAGTCTACCGACAATTCCAGGAGCTCTGATAGCTCCTCCACTGTATTCTAATGAGGAGAATGTGGATTTACCTGTCTTCAGCGCTATGTGCGCTTGTCTTTACAGGTGAGTTTCCCACTTCCTGAATTCTCCTTTTCGGAAAACCTTTAATACGCTTAATTCGCCAAATGCGGTTAATATGTAGATACCTGTATCTAGTGACTATTTGTGGCTTTAGAAACACAGTCTGCTTGTTTAGTTTTCAGTTTGAAGACGACTGCTGTGTTTTAATCAGGACAGGCACATCGTGGTTGAATTGTTTATGGTTTAACCACTGCTCATTTTAGTGTTTCTGCGGCACCTATTATACACTTACCAGATTTACACTGTGCTGCCGTTGATAGAATAAGATTATACGAGATTAGATTGATCCTCAGGGAGTTAATACTGGCATTAGAGCAGCTTCAAGTGGATAGCAGGTGCAGTAAGAAAGATTTACGATGGGTTAAAAACAAGGTGTAAATATCTAGAAGAAATGCTTTATTACAAAGAGTGAATCTTATTTATTTATTATTTTGGTATTAATGTTTTAAAGAGTAAATAAATAAAAAAATCTCCATATCTAAATATATCAGCAGTCTTCTGTAGGGGTAGAGTGTGACCTAGTGAAGCAGATTTATAGGATAGGAATGGCTGGAGTCTCAGCTTAAGCTGAGTTAAACACTCTGATCACAGAGAAAGCTTTACTGCTTAATTAATAGATAGTTTAGGGTAGTTCTAGCATAATATTTCCTAAATGAACAGGATGTGACTGAGTGAAACTAGATGTTGCTTCATTGTAGAAATAGTTCAGATGATGCAAATAGTGGTGACTCAGTTTGAAAGACTGACTATGATCTAGTTGAATCATTTGTTAGCTTTAATAAAATTGCATTCATTATCTTTTTGTGTGTGTTGCGTCTGGGATTTAACATGGTTGTCAAAAACGTAATGTGTATTGTAATGTTTTTACAGTAAGGCTGTATTAGTAAATGTTACTTGATGTATTTAATAACATGAAAAAAGAATTTTATACATTATTATTCAGGTGGTTCGAAAGACTTACCCCTTGCTGAAAAAGCTCCAGAATTTGTCCCATACATGAGCTCATTTGTCTTATTGTGACTGCTATTCCATAATAAATTGTGAAGATAACCAATCCAAAAAGGCTGAAATATCAAGCGAAATCCGAGAAGTCACGCTGTGCCAAATTTGGCGTCTTAAATTCTGACTGGGGAAAGTTGAATGTGCTGGCCAGTTTGTCATTTAATAATTTTAAAACTTTAGCATATTCTTATTTTTGTATTTTAATAATAAGTATTTTCATATTTTTTTTTATTCTAAATCTTTAGGAAATGCTTTCAGTACGTCAAAAAGTATGGTTACGTTGACCGTCCGACAAGCTAATCCAGCAAAAAAAAATAGTGCTTAAAATGTAATTTAAATGCAGTATTTCAACCTCATAATTAAATAGAAAATGGGGTGAATGACTGAAAAAAGCCCACTTTTTGAGAACAAATAACCACCCCTTTCAACAGGCTGGCTACGGGCCTGTTAGTACATGTTGAATTATGATTATTGCATGCTGTACAAGTATTGATCATTATTAGTTCATGTTAGTAAATACATTAATGAAACCTTATGAATTCGACTGTGTCATGCTGGTAGCTATTTATGTAAAGGCACTGAAATGTTTTAAATGTCTGTTGATTGATAAAACAAAAAGCAAATCAAAGAGTTCATGACTTTCATTTCAGGGGTTTCACTATGTAGTGGCATGATTAGGCTTGATCGTGAGAGTTTTGACATGACTGCAATGCTCTAACCTGCTCTTCGAGAAACTGTTTGTTATCTATAAATCTATCATGAAGTTATGTAACACCACTATGGACGTTGTTTCTGGTTGTGCTGTTACTTTAAGGTATACACTTCATTTAATGTCTTTTTCATTCATGGTTACCAGGTGTATATCAGGTGGAAGGAATGGAGGTGTTTACATCTTCAGAGTTGGAGGCAGTCAATGGGACAGAAATACGTCTCAAATGTACATTTAAATCTAACCGTCCGCTCTCTGAAGAAAGGACCTCTGTATCCTGGAGCTTCATGCCACTTGGAAAGACGAAAGAAGAACCTGTGAGTCGATCATTCAAAGCATTTAAATAATGTGTTGAATGTCTAAATCCTGGCTTCTGATTGGCTGGAAATTGTGCATTCAAACTGTATAATTCACAGGTAGTTCCTATCAGTTCATCACTGTTTAGTGTTGGTGTTTTACAGACACATCCAAAACACATCACTCGCACAATTTAAGCGGTGCCCACTTATTTTTATTTCAAAGGTTACCTATAAAGCATTCTGGGTGTACCTAGTTAAGTGAGATCAGTAAATAGAAATGGTCATATCGTGAGCCTCAGACATTGTGTCCTCATTCTTATGTACACAAGTGTAAAACCTCGATGGACAACAGGACAAAATCAGACTTTTTTTAATTACTCTTGGGTAGGGCCAGACAGAGTCTGCGGACATTTTTTTGCTATTTCTGCGCAGAATTGTGTAAAAAAATTATTGGAATAATTTTAGGAGTATTGTAACTAAAATGTTACTCCTTCATACATTTTCTTTTTCGTCTGTGTCCCTTTATTAATCTGGGGTAGCCATAAAAAAAAGGTATATCTGAAATAAAATATAATACGTTTTTTACTTTTATTTAATGTTTACAGTGCAAGTCCAATTAAATCCACTTATTTGGTAAACAAAGCAAGTCTCTCATAAAATAGGTCCACCAAAAAACAGAAAATTTTACTGCACAAACTGTAATGTAAATAAACCGGATGAACATTTTCATATTAGTCTATAATGAATAGCTATAATAGTCCTGAAATTAATAAAAAAAACTTAATAAATATAAATATACACACATTTACACAAGTAAATGAAAGACTCTGATTGGCTAAAAAAAAAAAAGCGAAAATTTTCGCACACGTATTGTTTTTGAGAGTGTGGGCTTACTCATGCATCACACTCTCAAAATTTGCATCCAGACTCGACGAACAGCCAAGTCTTCAGGACATCACCAAACAAAATGCAGACTGATATATTTGCCCTCAAGATCATTAATATTCAAACTAGGCTTGAGCGTCAAAGGGCTTGATACCGTCAAACCTCCTCCCTATTTTACCTTGGTATCTGGTATTACCATGCATGTTAAAAAAAAATATGACGTAAGGCTCAGACAGCGTCACCAAACTTTTGGCTTGTGCCTAAACCATTCAGAAACTGAATACCGTTTATGCGACCTTAGGTTCGCGGTCACCTGTTTGTCTTGTTCGTATTCTTCTGTGTGGGACGCTCTCTCATTCACACACATGCACGTATGCGCACACACACAGAGAGAGAGAGTGAGACAGCACCAAGCAACGCACAGCACCACGCTCTCTCTCTCTTGATCTCACAGACACACATACATAGAGAGAGAGCACCAATGCAACACACATCACCTCTCTCTCTCTCGATCTCACACACACACACGCATATAAAGAGAGAGCACCAAGCGATGCAGAGCACCACGCTCTCTCTCATTCTCACACACACACATAAACAGCATCCACTCGGATATGCGCGCGTGCTCGCTCGCTCGGGAGCGACATTGTTAGACCGGGCGCCCGGTCCCTTTCCAAAAACACCAGAGTTACCGACCGTTCCCGCGATTCATTCAGAAATTTATTCTGGCACCGCAAGAAATCTGGTCGGGTCCCGCAGCTCCCGCAGTACAGCAGCGGGAATGCAGACCTCTCTCTAGTTCGTATTTACCACGTCTCCCTTCTTAGTCGGTCAAATATGGTCAATAAGGATAAGCACCTTCTGATTCTAGAGGTATTTTGTTGAGTAATAAATGAGCATATAAAACCATTTCTGGAGATTGGAGAATGAATGCAGTAAATTGCACATGCAGCTCTCCCTTCTGTCTGTCTCATTTTTACACTCAACAGAAAATTAATTTAATAGTGTCTATTATGTTTCTCAGCAAGGAAGGGGAAAATTGCTATAATGAGTCCAATTATAATTATTAAAATTACTATAAAATAATGTAACTCACTTTGAAGTAACTAAACTTGCACACAGATGAAGCCAGGTAATTCATGCAACTTTCATTCTCTTTCCCTCTCTTTTATATGTTGTTATAGCAAGGTTCATTATGTTGGTAATACAAGGCCTAAGAATTTTGTGTATCAAATATAAGTATTAGGGCTGCGCGATATTGAAAAAATCAGACATTTTGATGTTTTGTTTTTCTGTTAAATATATTGCGATATAAGTACAGTCACCAAATGATCCCTCAGAATTCAGGCACAGAAATTGAATTATCAAATGTAAAATAGAGATGTTCTTGATCTACATGTAGATTCTGACCCAGTGCTTATAATATTAGGATTATAATATTTTGATTATACATATTCATTGAGCAGCGCACAACATAAATTCCTTGCATGTTATTTGATAACAGCCAAAAAGCTATTATTATTGTACTGAAAAAATGTTTTGCATCCAACTGCTAAACTATGGCTTGAAGAATTAATATCTACTGTGCACTTGGAACAAACCAAATATCTTTGAAAAGGCAACATTGGACAATTTTACAAGATTTGTGGCCCTTCTGTTACTTAATGGAGAATTCTATTCCCCAAAGCAATGTTTTAGAACTAAAAAATAGTTTTGACTATCCCTGTATATGAGTGGTCTCACTGTAAATAAGTGAATTTGGGGGGTTTGATTGTTTTTTTCTTGTTTGTTTTTGTAAGTTTATGCATATCAGAAAATTAATCCTGGAAGTCTATTCAATGACCACTGTTAGAGAAAAGGAATTTTTTTTATTACTTTTGTATTTTTTTATTAGAAAAATGTTTAGACTAACAACAGATTAATCAATCTTTCTCTTTTGTATTATAAAATGTCTTGACCAGACAAACTTCCTCTTTTTTACTTTGCTGCATACTTTTTAGAAGAACTGCTGACTAGTGGAAAAGCAGAATAAGAATAAATTGAGGGTGGGGGCCTTTGTTCCAGAACTATAGTCTAGACATGTCACAAGTTGTCCTGATGCTTGTAGAAGTTGTGAAATATATTAAAGATGCACGTAATTGTTCAGTTCTGGTATGCAGAGAAAGGTCGCAGAAAGAGGAAGTAATGTCCAGGGGTTGCAAAGAGCCAAGGGACTGCAGAATGACTGATAAGTGACGTTAAACCAAAACTCCACCTGTTAAGATCAGTTGTGTATATATATATACTGGAGTCAGGAAATGTAAGTCAGTTGCGTTGCGAACCTCCTGAATGTAATTCTTGTATTGCATTGGGGTAACGTAACCCAGAGCTCTGTCATCGAATTATTCATTTGTATCTAATAAATTACTAATATTTTTGGCATTGAAGAAAACCCTCTCCAGACCTTTTCTTATTGAACACGCATGGAATAGAGGTAGATATTCCAACACCACATAAAACTTTTTGTCAAAAGAGTTTTTAAAATGTGGAATTCCAAGAGCCTGAATGCTTTAAACTCTCTTGATATGCTCATAAAGTCACAGGGCTTAACATGTAAATGATAAACATTTGCTCCTGGTCAAATATAATCCCAATTCAACATTGCAGATCTTTGCAATGTGACTATTGCAGATGCACTCATTGCGATATTGATGCTGAAACGATATATTGTGCAGCCCTAATAAGTCTGGTTAATCTATAGAGTGCTGTATGCAGTTATTTGTTCACAAACTAAGAAAGAACATAACAGATCTGCTTACAAGACATGCTCTTAAAATTCTAAAAAAATAAAATTTATTCATACCTCCCTCTCTTAGATTTGTCTTTTTTTTCCACTTATTTCTTGTGTAACTTAAGTTAGCGTTCCTAAAGCTCAAATATTTGAGCCTGGGCACTGGATTTGATTACCAGGGAAAGCAAGATTTGATCAATTGTGTACCTTTAATCCAGTGTCACTTTGCAATAAAAAGTGTCTGACACATGCTTAAATCTACACTATTCCCTTTCTTTCTTTTTCAGTTTTTCCACTACCAGGGACATGCATATCTTCCTCCTGGCGGCCTGTTTAAGGATCATGTGGTATGGTCTGGTGATGTAATGAAGGGTGACGGATCCATCACACTGCAGGATGTGCAGTTCAGCTTTAATGGTACCTACAGCTGCCAAGTCCTAAATCCGCCCGACATCCAGGGCTTTGCAGGAGAGATCAAACTCCGAGTCGTTCAGAAAGGTGAGAGCAGATGCTGTGACGCACGGCTGAAAAATGAGCTCGAAAAATCATTTACTCAGACCTGTGTGGCGGTGAAGGTGAAGGTTGTTGTGTTCTTTCTTTGATCTCAGCAGCTGAAGGACGGAAGTATCTTATCAGTTGAGGTAGAAGAGCAGACAGACTCCTCAGAGAGTGTTATGATACAGAAAGCAAAAATGCGTAAGAACAACAAGAGTGGGTGAAGTTCTATTTGCTGGCAGTCCTCTGATAAACTTTCCCACACTCGTTGCTTGAACAGATTCGTCACCTTGCGTTATTTCAGTTTAAAGGGATAGTTCACTCCAAAATAACAATTTCCTTCGTCTTCTGCTGGTATCAGATTTTCTTGTTTTGCGTTTAGTTATACGATATAAAGTGTGTGTGTGTGTGTGTGTGTGTGCGTGCGTGCGTGCGTGCGTGCGTGCGTGCGTGCGTGCGTGCGTGCGTGCGTGCGTGCGTGCGGTATAATATAATATAACATAACACAATATATTATAATATGATGTAATATAGATAATATAATGCACAATTTTGGCCTAAGCTTAAAAGGTTATAATAACCAAAATAAAATAGTGTATTGTTTTATTGTACATAAATGGATAACTTTAATAAAACTAAATATTTAAATCAAATTAAAGCCCCGGTTAGATCACATGATTTTTATTGTCTGTTACGAATGTCACTATGTAAAATGATGCGATTTTTGTCTTGATAAAATCTTGACTTGTCGTGGGTAACACGTGTCAGACTACATGTTCCTTTATGTTCAGTCATTGTGACATTTAAAACGAATCTTATTTCCCAGAGCAGTCACAAGTGTTGCAATAACAATATTTCTTATCTTAATTTCAATGTTTTTTTTTAATCTTATTTCAATCTCTAAAAACTCTGATGCTTGCTGACAACTCATTTACCATTATTTAAGGGAATTCGTTTTGACATTGATCGGATCAAATGTATATTTTATTTTTAATGTTAAGATATTTTCTTTTAAATCTAAATGTATATTTTCCAGCCATGGGTTTCTTATTAAACACTCCCTCGCCTGAACTTGCCGCGAGAAAATGAAAGCACATCAGCACCGAGAAAAACCAGATGCTTAAGACAAAATGACATATTAAAACATTAGCAAATATATGACAGATGTTTATGATACAACAATTACATGAAGCCTTAATTGAATGCTTATTTTTCATAGAGTGAAACAAATCAGCCACCCACACAGTTGAGTAGTGGTTGGGTACAAACAAAAATATAATTCAAACGTTTTTTTTTGGAAAAATATATCTTTTTGAAACCTTTTTGTTTGGTATAATTTGTAAATTAATTTTAATCTATTTTTGTTGGTCAGTTATCTACTAGATAAACAAGAGTAACGAATAACATCTGAGGTGATGTGCTTCAAAACCAGTCCGATATATGCACCAAAGCACAAACTGGTTTGTTAAATAAAATAAAATATTCACAATTTCAGAGAAACCTATATTGAACTGTTTTTTCATTTTTAATAACAAAATCATGCATTGCCGGTGAGATTTAATTTAAGTAGTTTAATCAAGTAATTTAAATAAGCAAGACAGGCTTTTACAATGTATTAGCAGCACTGAATGTGTTCCCAGATTACCTTGGAAGAACTAACTCAATTGAAAGGGTGAGTAAACTCAGAAACACGTGAGAATGGAGATGGCTGCACATTTGTGCCAGTCTGTCAAAAAAATAGCTCTAAACACCTTAATATTTTAGAGAAAATAGTTAAATAAGCATAACCAATGGTTGATCTTATCAACCCATGACCCAACCATAAGTAAATATGCAGCCAATTTTTTGTTTACCTGACCTGTGGATTAACGGCAGCACCCACAGAAATGACTGAGAAATCATGTGCTTCTATTTCCCAGTGTCACCCATGTGACTGAACTTATCATGAAGAACAGGGGAAAAATTTAACATGCTAGACTTTCTGCGATGGTGTCATGAGGCGTCGCAAACATGTATCGGTTCTCATGAACTATGTCACATTACATGTGAAGAAGCGATTGAATTGCCTTAAATTGTGTCCCAACACCCATTGGTCGTTTACGACTCCCCATGACACCCTACGTCAAGAAAATCATGCCAAAATCTTGTGCTCTGACTAGGGCTTAAAATGCAAAAGGATTAGAGAGTGCAATAGGTGACACTTTACAATACAGTCTCATTTAAATGTTGGTTAATGCAAAAATAGTGTTAATTTAATAAAATGATTACAACTTTTGATGCAATATTAGGCATTTACAATTAAATTAACATCACCTTAGATTAAAGTAAAGTTAATGTCATGACAGCTACTAAAGCATCTATTAATTTAAAGTAATGTTAAATGCAACCCTTTTTTGTAGAATTAACAAAAATAAGGCCTATAAATAGTCACAAAACTTTCCATGTTGTAGGCCAGATTAACATGTGAAAATGTTTTTTATATATATATATATATAAATCACCCAAGTGTTGAAGCATTTGCTGCTCTCTAACAATCTGAATATTCCTAAAGGACCTTTTATGTTTATGTAATAATTAATTACCCATGGTATTTTAAAGTGCCCATAATATCAATGTTGTGCAGGTTCATTGTCGCCATATATTGAAATATTGAATATTGGCATATGTCTGCTCACACTCCCTTTCTCTCCTCTGTTGAGCACAAAACAAGCTATTATGAAGAATGTTGGAAAAAAGCAACCATTGCCATGCATAGTAGAAACAAAAAATACTATGGAAGTCTGTAACTACTTTACTATGTTTTCCTTTGTGTTCAACAGAAGAAAGAAACTCGGTTTGGAACAAGTGGAGGATGAAAAAATGTCAGAATTGAATTTTTGGATAAACTATCCTATGTTTAGTGAAAACAGATATAAAGGAAGAATTTAAAAGAGAGAATGTTTTCAGTCATGACTCCTCCCACTGAACGTCCCCTTATTTCTTATTGGCTGATGGATGTGACCGATGCAAAACTCATTTCACAGTACATGACTCCTCTTGTAGAATTGTCCAGATATTTAGCATTCATCAGCACTTTTCTCGCAAAGTGTCTTTGGTAAAACATACTATGCAATTGTGTTATTCATTGAAACAGACACTGATTTGCCTTCACTTTTAGCCATTCGTCTGCAATTTCCAATGAAATGTCAGCAAGTGAAAATCAGGGCTAGAATTGCACGTTGTGTTCCTGGCTTCAATAAAATAAAATAAAATAAAATTGGTTGTGATGGAATGATAACTGCTGTAGTCAATAATGAATAGTGAGTTAACTATTGTCTATTTTATGATTATTTTGTTATGGCTTGATCATTAACAGTCCGATAAGAAAATAAATGATCAGCTAATCAATTCTGGATTTAGTCAGTTTATGCGTGCTGCTGTCCTTGAGGGTAAATAGTGTCTTTAATGATAGTGCACATCACACACTGCAGATCTGCACACTCTAGAAGAGTTTATGCTATGGAAGGACAAGATATCGGCAATGTACTGTGCAGTTTGCTTGTTTTCCTACAGTTTGGTTTTTAAGGTCATTAAAATAAGTCTCACAAAAATCGATAGATTTATTTAACCAATATGGTTAATTAAAATAAAAGTAGTAACATACCATTAGGGCGGCACGATTCTGGCTAGTTGCTTTTTTATTTTGCTTAAAATCAAGATGATTATGTTCTCACCATTCTGTAGATGTAAAATAAAGGTTCATACAAGTAGGCTGTTATTATTGTTATTTTGCACACATATGCTAAAACAACAACAATAATAATAGGCCTATGTGTAGTTCTACTGTTGGCTATAATGCTAAACTTTGTATAGACTTGGAATGGTGGACTTGAACAGACTTGTCCTGTTTCTTAATGCACAGTAAAGACATCAGAATACGACTATTCCTAACTCTGAAGCTGAATTATTGTGTTTGAGAGATATGCTTGCAATCTATCTATGAGAACATTATTAGACCGCTTTTTCACTGCTAAAATGAGACATTTCGTCATTATCAGATTCCCTCTTGCATTATATTCAACAATATATAGGCTAGAGTACTGTAGTTATAGTGACCCAGTAAATTGTCTTTAAATGTTTTTAACTTTTGTAAGTTTAGATGCATGTTTTTAACTTTCAAATAACAACGTTATTTGCAACTCTATTACCTGTTATTCACAGCCTATTCAGGTTCTGTTCACTAAAGTACACATCATTGGGCACGCGCGCATCCTGTCGGTAGTAAACAAACAGTGCTTGATGATTTCATAGCCACGAATACGTCATAACATTAAGACAGAAATTACATTTTTGGGTGAATTATACCTTATATATATATATATACTGTATGTGACACTTTTAACACCATTTGGATGTGTTCATGTTGCTGAGCAACGTATATTCAACAACGTGAAGACTTGTGCATCTGCGTTTATGCTTCTCTTCTGACCTTGAAAATATAATTGGCTAAATCATAGAAAAGCTGAATTAAGATCGTGTGGAGGATCGAATTGAGATGGCAAACTTTTCGATTTATCGTGCAGCCCTACATACAATGTACAAAAAGAAAATAGAATAAAGAAAATTAGCATTATAAATTAGCATTAGCATCACAATTACTGTAGCATTGAGACTTCTCTCTTTTTTTTCCAATAGTTTCATTCTCTGAAATCGGGATTCTGGCTATAGCTGTGGGTGGATCGATTGGCGTCATTCTCCTCATTCTCATCATCTACATCGTTGTGCGGGTATTTCGGAGACGAGAAGAGGACATGACCATTGAGACAGAGGACCACAGGTCAAAGGATCAGGTTTTGTGAAAGAGGATTTTTGACTCTGGGATTTAGTCTGCTTTTCGATTCCTGTCTGGGATATGACTAGTGATATAAGAAGTAATAACATATTTTGCCACAGAATCCTCTGATTATATGAGCAGAATATATTGCAGAATATCTTGAAACCATATTGATCACTACAATTTTACAGTGAAATGTTGTTTTTTTATCCTGATATGTTTTTATTTGATGACTTTTTTTTTAATGTTTGAAAGTTAGTGCTAAATTTAATTTCATTTTATATAAATAAAGTGAGAAAATTGAACCTTTCTATTTTTAAAAAGATATAAAATATCAGTTCACATATGTACATAACTTTATTGACTGTTGCTGCTTTTTATCTCATTATTTTGTAACTATTGAATTATTGCTGTTTTCCAGCAGTTTGTACTATCACAGATGTATGTGATCTGCCTATTTACATGCGTGTCTCCATACACGTTGATGCATTTCTGTGTTTGTACATTAGATGTGGTTCATAGACCTGTGCAGCAGAAAAAATAATATCTGTAAATATCTGTAAAAGAGCAGTATAATTTCTAAAACCAGTTAAACATTTTGAGAATGTATATGAATGGATGAAAAAAAACTGCATCAAATAATAATGATCGAACAAATGTTTATTGGTGCTTGTTACATAAACCTCAAATCTCCAGGGTTGTGGTATTCTCTGTTTATAAATGCTGGAATGCTTAAAAAGCTTAAACATCTTTTCAAAGTGAATTTATTTATTCTTCAGTCCTAGTTTTATCATACTGTAATAATCTGCAATTTCAAAGCATTGTTTTTATTCCCTTAATGGTTTTGTTACAAATACTACAGATACATTTTTGAGAACATTTTGTGAATTTTCTTTTTCTTTCTTTCTTTTTCCTCTTTCTTTCTTTTATATTTGACATGGTACAACTAGTTTTAAAAGCCATCATTTTATGTTAAGTTAAATTGGACTTTTTCTTTTGCAAACATTTACTATACTTTTGGTTGAGCTTTCATTAAGTTCTCAGATGTTGACAACTCAGTGCTTCCCACACATAGACTACTTGGGCGGTCCGCCCAGGCATATTATCGACTGCCCAAGTATATTTAATGACGTTTTTTTATTATTATCAACCTTTTACATTTTTATTTTGTATCCACCTAATAGCCAAACATCCGCAATGGATTAACGAGTGGCAAATCTTATTTCACACTACACGTTTCCCATTTCTCGTTGTATATGTGCGAGAACGTTCAACACTCCCACAGACAATCTCACATGGTCTGCAGAGACCTACAGGAAAATGTCAGCAGCAGATTTTATCTGTCAGTGGGTGCACATGGTGCCGGAATAGAATAAAAGAAAACAAATAGTGGATTTTTTTTTTTATTTTAACAGTATTTTTTTATTCAACCCATTAAAAAGAAACAGTGCATAATAGTGTCATAATAAATAAAAAAATATTGTTAATCACTTTTTTTTTTTGTTGCATGTGGGTAATCGTGTGTGTCATGGGTAAAGGTGTTTCAATCCAGCTACCACTGCAAGTACATTTCCAACCTGTGGGAGGCACTGAACTAGAATACTATTTATCAAAAGTAAACTGGTGTAGTAATGATAAAACCCCAAATAAAAAAAAAAAGTAAAAACAAAATCAAGGATGTTTTTTTTTATTTTATTTTTTTTTAGGATTTCATTGTGGTTTTTGTATTGACAACGAAAATGTACTATAACTTACCTAACCGCTACTGTTATATGCCTGGGGTGGCCAAAGCTACTTTAGGGTAGAGCAAAAAGAAAAACTAAGAAAGAATGAAAAGAAAAAAAAAATGAAATAAAATTTGCTGTAGAGAATGGAAATCTAATTGACGAGTTCCACCCTGTTTTCAAACATGCTCAATGTAAATCAATGCAAATAACCACAGAAAAAGCTGACTGTTTTAAAGTAATAATATTTTGAAAACACACTGCACAACCCAGAATTAAGTGGACTAACATGCAGAGAAGTCGAATGCTGATACAAAGAGTGGATCAAAAAAAGGAACACAAATAAATACATAAACAAGCTGTTCATGCACTCCACCTTCAGTGCATCTGGAAAACATTGTTAGCCCTTTACTTTTTATGCTACAGCCTTATTCCAAATGGATTCATTTATTTCCTCATAATTCTACACACAATACCCCATAATGACAATGTAAAAAAAAAAAAGATTTTGTGATATTTTTGCAAATTCATAAAAATAAAAAACCTGAAAAATCACATGTACGTAAGTATTTACAGCCTTTGCTCAATACTTTGTTGATGCACCTTTAGCAGCAGTTACAGCCTCAAATCTTTTTGAATATAATGCCACAAGCTTGGCACACCTGTCTTTGGGAATTTGTGCACATTCCTCTTTGCAGTATCTCTCAAGCTCTATCAGGTTGGATGGGAAGTGACTGTGTACAGCCATTTTCAGATCTTTCCAAAAATGTTCAATAGGATTTAGGTCTGGGCTCTGGCTAGGCCAATCAAGGACATTTACCGAGTTGCACCACTCTACCATACAGGCTTGATTGGTGGATTGCTGGAGATGGTTGTCCTTCTGTAAGGTTCTCCTCTCTCCACAGAAGAACGCTGGAGCTCAGACAGAGTGACTATCAGGTTATTGATCACCTCCCTGACTAAGGCCCTTCTCCCCCGATCACTCAGCTTATGCCTAGTTCACACTAGAGGATTTTAAGCCTGATTTGAGCCCGATTTGGAAGTTAACGAGCTCGCTGACAGATCGGGCTGTGATCGGGAAGAAATCTGCGGGTGCACGGCGCTCGCCGCTCTTTATGTGTGAACTACTGAACAACGCATCAACGAGGTTTGCTGACGCGTCGCCGACACCTCGCAGACGGAAATCCAACATTCAGCATGCTAAATATTCCAGAGCAGTCGGCCAACTCAACCCCACGTGTGGTCAGATGTAGTGACGAGCTGCAGCCAATGAGAGAGCAGATCAGCACGAGCTGAATGCCTGTGTGTTCAGGAGCTCAGCAGAAACATCTGTGATTGGTCAGAATGGGCATCGATGCACTCGCTTCATTCTGCATTAGCACAGACATGAGAGTAGGATATATTAACAGTGAAACTAGAATTCTGTAACTATTAGAATTACCATACTGCTCATTCTGACCGTTCTCATATAAAACGCCATATTGTCACAACATATTTACATTCAAAGCTATTATTGAGATATTAAAATTAAGCTTTGAATGTCTGGCATCATATTTAATGACACCATTACCCTAAAAATATAATCTTTTTTTTGGTAATACAGCCTATAAATATGTAGTTAAGATACTAGAACACGCAAAGGTCTTGGCTTTCATTTTCACTTTCAAACAGGAGCTATTTCACAGCACAGAATATGCTGTTTTGAAAGATATCTGAAGTAAATTGATGTTTTTGCCATCAGAAAGTTTTGTTTATGTTAGCAGGAAGTTGCTAGGCAAGAAAATGCACACATATTTAAAGTCACAGCGAAAAGTATCAGACATGCATGCAGTCATTTTAACCAATATGGTAATTTAAGGCAGAAATGCTCAGTTCTTTACTGTTTTGTGATTAAAAAAATAACAATGTCAGAAAGAAATACACTGATAGTTAGAAAACGGCAGGGTGTATAAATATGTTAGTTTTATTTCAAAGAGTTATAAAATTACAAAAATTAAAACTCTCTGTGTATCTATCCACTCAAACCTTGCAGATGAGTGATTAATGCGCTGATAAATCAGCTGATTTGACGATGTTTTTAAATGCTTTCTCCAAAGCTTGAAACGCTGTCAGTGATGTCATCAGCACACAAGCAGCCAATAGTGTTCAGCTTTTTCTGACGACTCCTCCCTCAAATTTTCATTGGCTGTGGTTTGGTAGCTTGAATGAGCTGATGGGGAATGAGATGTTGTCAGATCATGTAGTGTGTGACCCCCCTATTGTGGATCGTTCACGGAATGTTGCGTAGTGTGAACACCACAGAGATTAAAAGACACAAAGTCAAGTCGTGTAGTGTGAACAGCACAGCGATCTGCTGATGTTTAAAATCCTGTAGTGTGAACTAGGCTTTAGATGGCTGGCTAGGTCTAGGAAGATGCCACTGTGGCATGATCAGTGGAAACAGAATGTACCTGAGGTCAATTTAGAGCTTCACTGCAAAGGCTGTGAATACTTGCATGTGATTTTTAAGCTTTTTTATTTTTAATAAATTTGCAACAATTTCAAAAATCTTTTTTCACATTGTCATTATGTGCTGTTATGTGTAGAATTTTAAGGAAATAAATGAATTTAATTTATTTTGGAATAAAGCTGTAACATGAAAAAATGTGGAAAAGTGAAGCGCTATGAATACTTTCTGGATGCACTTTGTTAAGTGAGATATCTGTAAGCAACCAGAGTAACCTAGTTTTTAAAATAAATAGCACAGTATTTAGAGTTTTATTTTGTGGGTTTAACGCATATGAAAACATGGGCAAGAATTAAAATCAACCCTAGCGTAAACAGATCATCATACTATCATTACCCTGTTCGAATGATAAATAGTCTTTAGATGAGATTCTTTTACCTGCTACATTACCCTTGAACCTCTTAATGCAAAGAAAAAAAACGTGGCCAGTCAAGTTCTGTTGGGGCATGCATATTAATGAGTCCAAGTGTTACATTGCAGTCTGTGTTATGTTCTGATCTGCATGTTTTTCTGTAGTCCTTTGCTCAAACAAGATTTATATAAGGTGAATATAAGTTGGAGGCTTACAATATGTCATTTACATGTACTTAACTCTTATCATATGCATTTCTTCAATTTTTTTTTTTCTTCTTTAAATTCTTTTTTTTTCAGGTCGTGTCTTTAAAATATGGATATTAATTCTTCCCCAGTATTTTCAATGGAGTTTTTGTGCTAGCCTGCTGCTAATGATGGTGCCTGCATTTAAACAGTTTTTTGTTTTTTCTAACATTTCAGTAACCAAATGGAAAATTTAAGTCTAAACCAAAAGTCTTTTTAACTGATTTCATTTAAATTACATTACAACATCAATGCTGTAAAAGAAACCTTATGAATTTGAAAATAGTCACATAAACCGTTCAGCAGAAGTTCATCATTGGCTGAAAAACAATAGCTGTGCATATAGACCATTGGTCAATATATTTGCTAATGATTTTGTCCTTGTGTAAATTGAAACCAAAAACTGCCGGGTAGATCTTCCCAAGATGAATCACTTCTAATGACCATAACTAACTGTTATTTAGAGACAGCTTTATTTTATTGCTGTCAACGTGTGTTTTAACTAACCATATTTTTAACTTGCACACTGAATAAACATTTGTAAAAGCTGTTCAGGAAACCAAAACAGGCTAGTAAACCACTTATGATGCAAACCCAATGACAAATGACACATTCTCACGTTGAAGGAATCATCTTATTAGCCATTCCAAACAATCAAGTGTTTTGCTAAAAAATGACACATTCCTCAAGCCTAGGGTGATGATGTTATGATTTTATTATGTACATTAACAGCGATGTGAAACCCATGTAAAGTAAAATAATTGAAAGCTGTCAGTGGTGTTACAGAATTTTGAATAGTAATGTGTGAGGCGCTCTTAAACCTT